CCCGGCCCTCCCCCCCACAGCAGCCAGCCCCGTGGCCGACCCCAGCCAGGAGTGGAAAGTGGCGAAGATCCAACGGGTCCTCATCAACCCTGCCAACGAGCTGAGGAAAGCAGGTAAGAGAAACCCCCTTTAGCCACCATCCTGCCCCCCAAAAAGCGCTGCTGTGCTCCTGGGGCCGGGGCTGCCGCTGCCCGGCACAGCACTGGGAACGCCTGGCTCTTCCCAGGGCAGGACCTCCGCTGGGTTAGAGGTCCCAGGCTCCCGGCGAGCCGCTGGGACTTTTTTAGCTTGAGATGATCTCTCTGGCCTTAAAAATAAGGAGGAATCCGAGGCTTTTCTCGGGAGGGGGGTGGGAAGGCAGCGGGCGGGTTCCTGCGGTCTCCAAGAGCTCAACTGAACCCCGAGTGCGGCACAAGCAGGGTGGGCTTCCTGGCCCTCACCCCGGCCTTGGGGCTTGACGGGACCCTGCCAAAAGGGGGGTGATCAGGATCAGCTCCTGGGGCGCTGCCTGGGACAGGGACAACTCTCCCCGGTCGGTCAGGGTGGGGATGGCCAAGCATTCGTTACGTGGCTTGGGGCCATCTCTCTTTCAGCCCCTGGTTTAAAAATTAAGCACTTTATTTCAGGCTGGTTGGTTCCTACAATGCTCTCTGCCATCGCCTCGCTTCACAGCCCTGTTTCACAGCCATTCCTCTCTGTGACTGTCCCTTCGGCCACAGTGACACAAATACAGGCGCATATCTAGGGTTACCACAGCCACTCCCACGCCCAGACCTCCCCACCCGGGGGAGATGCTCCCACAGGATTAGACCCAGCCTCTTACAGGCATCAGACCCATTTTTAAACCCCACTTTCACCCTTCTTTCTATTTTGCTCCTGCCCAGCTGTTATCTCAGCTGCCACGCGGCGCCGGGGCAGGTGTGTCACTGTCCCCATGGGATGGCGTTATCGGATGCTGCTGCTCTGCTCAGAGCCTGGTTTTCCCAAAGCAGCCCCCGGGATGGGGAGGGACGGGACCGGCTGGGGATGCTCGACGTGAACCTGGTGCCCAGAATCCGTCCCCTGCCTTTTTGGGGTGTCAGACGGCCTCAAAACCAGCAGCTCCCTGGATGGAACAAGGGCTGGGAAGCTCAGCCAAGCCCTTTGGCTCGCTGCTGCCCCAGCAGCTCCCCCGGCCGTACGGGCGTCGTGTTTCAGAGCTCAGCGGCACAAACCAGACGGACCCAAATAGTCTTCCCGTTTCTCACTCTGCTCTGGGATGGCAGATCTGCGGCAGGGAAAGGTCAGGCCTGACTCTGTCCAGGCTCAGCATTTTCCTAACCCGCACCGCCATCCAGCACTTTTGCTGCCAGCCTGGAATTTTAAAGTAACTCAACAGGTTTGTTGGAAAGAGTTTGTCGGTCCCGTTTCCTCCCCCTCCAAGTGAGATCACCACCAGCCGCTGCCTGCGGGACCCGTCAGACTTTCCAGAGCCTCCGGGCAGGATGTCACTGAGGGTCCTGAGCACCGGGACCTTGTAAAAAAACCTGCAGGTTTGGTTCAGAGCAGGGATGGCAGCAGGGGAGGGAGGGAAGGGCAGGTCCCTGCACTGGTGGCAACGGAGCTGCCTCTGCGGCAGGGTGTTTGCAGGCGCATCCCTGGGAGGTGTCAGGGAATTTGCTCCTCTTCTCCTTAGCTGGCTGGGGGTAAAATACACACACCCGTGCAGCTCCTGGAAGAGAAAGGGGTGCATCCATCTGCACCCAAAATCGTGCAGTGGTGGTCCCGCGAGCTGGGAGCCAAGCAGGTGCCCCCCCGAGCGGTGCAGACCCTCCCAGGCAGGTCCCGGGTGCCCCTTTGGTCCCCGTCCAGCAGCCCGAGGCCAGGCTGGCTGCTTGCAAATATCCGGCACAGCGGCCCAATTTGGTTGGCACCTCTCGGGGCAGGTTGGGGAGCGCAGGAGCCCCGGGTAGAGGCAGCAGCTGGGAGATGCAGGAGGCAGGACTGGTTTCTCTGTCTGGTGTGCAAATAAACAGAAGGTTTTGCTCCCTGGGGGCTGCTGAGCCAGCACCAGTCTCTCTCAAAAACCAGAAAAACACAAAAAAGCAAAGAGGGGCAGGAAGAAAGGAAATTAGAAAGGCAAGAAATAAGGCCAAAAGCTCATCCTGCGGTGTGGACAGGCACGGGAAGGGGGTGAGGCTGG